TGAACCCAAACGAGACATATCGGAGCAACCCGAATCATTCACCTGAACATGACTCAACGCTTTCTTTGCCTCATGTAACCGAAACGCGACTTTTGAGGGAAACGGAACCCACTTAGGTGGAACGGTGAAGTCCTCTGGCTGAGTCCGTAGATCATCACCGTTAATCAAATCAATGGCGATGATGATACAAAAAAAGTTAGACTCCACCACCATAAATACTGAAAAAAGGCACACTTGAGATTCCGAGATCGGCCGTAATACGAGGTAACCAGAAAGGTGCGGAATCGTTAATAATCCAATCAGGAGTAGACTAGTTTCTAGAAACTGAAGCAGAGGGCCATGCAGGTTATCGGGTAGGCTTTTCTTGAGGTATGGAACCTTGTGCGTGGGAATGTCAGTGGTAGCCTCCTGAATTAGGGGGGAGAATGGGTCCTTCCCAGAAGGTAAAGTGGAGGGTTAATAAATGGACCAAAGGTTTGCTAAATTTTGGAGGGATTTTGGGGCAAACGCTGGGATTTTGTTTTTAGGGGTAGAAATAAAAGATTTTGTGACCTCTTTTGGCTAAAAGCTTGGCGAGCTCGAGGAATGGGATTATATGACCAAACGCTAGCCATGGAAACAGAGCAATATGGAGCTTTTTATGTTCATTCATGGTGAACAGAGGACTAATGAAGAAGCCTACAAGCTGCTTGTAGAAAATCCCTATATTGAAAAATGAAAATCATGATAAGCAAAACTTTGGGCTAATCGCGGTTGACATTGTATCAAAAAATATGCTTTAGCAGGAGTGAAAATACTAAAATGGCCTTGTTTTAATTGAAGGTAGGGACAAATCTTAGCAAAATGAAACTTTACCAGTTGGAGGATAATTTAGAGACCAACCTGTGGAAAAGTAAAAGAATCAATTAAGAGTGGTTGAACCAAATCTATTTTTCAATTAAAAAATCAATTAGTACTTAAAGAAAAATTGTCATGATGCACAAAACTACTATTTTGCACAAACCTACCAATCTGGGAATCTGGGAAATTTTGATTTAATTGCTAAACAATTAATTTTTTTCCTCCTCTTTTTTTTTTTTTTTTTTTTTTTTTCCTCCCTCTTTTTTTTTTTTTTTTTTTTTTTTTTTAAAAGAAAAACAATCAAATTATTTTATATTTACTTTATTAATTAAAACAATTTATATTAATACAATTCCTAGCAGCATATGTATCTCATTATTATTGACTCTTGCACACTGAATACAAGCTCATATTGCGGCTCCCAATTCACCGGAATCATTCGATAACCGGGGACTCGGTGCACCCAACTCGGTGAGTTTGTAGAAGCTCAACGAATTGGTCAATATAACGGTCATGTAGTTCTTTATTTGCAAATAACTTCGACATCTCTTTTGCATTCTCTCTATACAATTTTCCTTCCTCCTCAACCATAACCAATTACCGAGTCAGCCACCGAGTCCCTTGCTAACTTCTTTTACTGAGCTTACAACTCAGTGAACTCGTTCTGACTCACAACTCAGTGAACTCGTTCTGACTCAAATCCACTTCGCTTCCAAATGCTATGTATACTACAGACCCTTTTTCTTGCTTGTCTAGCCAATCTCGGATTTTAAGCCACGTATCATCTTCATCACCATTGCCATCTAGAGTTAAAGGTGGCAGTAGACCTACTGGAAACACAGGCTTACCATGAAGCTCTCTAACAAGTCTTAAAAAATCAGCTTCTAGCTCGAAACAGCTCCTAATAGCTATAATATCACTACTCGCCATTACTGAACGAACTAATGATCCAAATATGTGTTTGGGAATACCTGAATTGTCTACCTCGAAACGATGGGGAATTCTCTTTGCTTCATGGAGTCGATATGCGACTTTCGAGGGAAACGGGATCCATTTAGGAGGGACAGTGAAGTCTTCTGGATGAAATCTTGAATCATCGCCGTCAATCGTGGCCAATGACGGTGATGCCCAGAAAGTTAAAGTCCAACCACCGAAAATACTAAAGAAGGCACTGGAGATCCCAAGATCGGCCAGAATAGGAGGTAACCAGTAAGGGAAACAGTCGTAAATCACCCAATTTGGAGCGGAAGTTTCTAAAAATTGAACCAGAGGGTCTTTTAGGCTATCATAGGCCATTCTAAGGTATCGAATTTTATCGAAGGGTAAGTCTATGGTGGCCTCTGCATCAGGCAAGGGGGGAGATTGTCACCTGAGGTAAAGGGAAGGGCTTATTGAAATTTATATTGGATGATAATTTGGAAGGGATGATAAATTTGGAGGGATTTTTGGCAAACGTTGAATGTTTCTAGGAGTAGATAGAAAAGAGATTTTGTGACCCTTCTGGGCTATGCGTTTGGCGAGTTCGAGGAATGGGATCATATGGCCGAATGCTAGCCATGGAAAGAAAGCTACATGAAGCCTTTTAGGTTCAGTCATGGCGGATTATTGGTGTTACTCTGCATTTCATAGCTTCGTACCGTGTCATATATAGAAGTAGGACTAACGAGGAACCCAGCGAGCCAAAGTCCTGTGATATAATTTGTAATATTTAATTTTATATTTAAGTCTTTCATCTCAATCAAATGATGTGATGTGTCATGATCGACTATGATACATCATACAACAACCTCGGTGGCGGTGCGGTGCTCCTGCATTTTGGATCGTGGGCCCTTGAATTATTAAATGTTAGTATTTTATTTTTTCTTTTAAAAAGGAGGGAATTACATATTGTATAACACTGGACCAAATGACCTCGACGTGATCAGCATCCAAAAAGCCTAGTCTGGAGGAGGATTATTTTATTACTTCATGTCTCCATAATATAATAATTTTGTTTCTACAAATACGATTGGTTGTGAAAAATCTAACAGTAATTAATAAAATTTTTCAATTTTACCCGTAAAAGATATGATAATTAATTTCAATTTTTTAAAAAATAATTTAATTAAATTAATGAATTATTTTTATAATTTTAAAAAATTATTTTAATAATTTATATTTATGGATTGAAAGAGTATTTAATAATTAAAATAATACTTTAATTTTCTATTCTTCACTTTGTATGCAAAATAGACACTTTGTATGCAAAATAGACTGGTTTTTACATCACCGTTGGATTTGAATTAAGTAAAATCAAATGTCTCCGTTCCATGAATATGGACTTATAAGCACCATATCATTTGAAAATTGAGAGGATGTGAGATTAGATAATAAATTTGACGTTATGAAGCAAATAGGTCCCTATATTATAATATGAAAAAAACAATTTAGGGTAAATTTATAAATTTAGATTTTAAATAATTCATAATAATTAGTTTTTAATAGCCAAAAATTCAATAATTATATAACTTTTTAAGAAAAAAACAACAAGATACATTATTAAAATTGATATATTATTCTAAAAAAGTAAAATGTATAATAAAAATTATTATTAATAATATTATTGGGACCGATCCTTATAAAATTATTTGTAACTTATCTTCTTTGTTCTTATTCTTTTGTTTTTTCTTGTTAGAACCCCAAACTCTAGAATCTATAGTTTTGCTATATATAAATCTATGTTTACTTATTTTTTCTACCTGTGCAGTCTACCTGTGCAGTTCTTAATTGGAGAATTTAACTCTAATTTTGATGGTTGAATGTTGATTGTATATATGTGAACTTTCGAAATTGAGACTGCATATTTCTTTTATTTTTATCGGTTTTCATATTTCTGGCCTAAAAATATTGAAAATTTAGGGCTTTTCTTATGTAAATTGGTATATCTTATATTAGTTTTTGCTTACAAAATAAATAAAAATGCTTTTTTTATTTAAGGCTAATTTTTGTTGATTTTTATATTACTACCTTAAGGATCGAGAAATTTTTACTAAATGCAATCTTTTGGGTGTGTTTTGATTATGAATATAAATGAGTGATTAAACAAAGTTTTATTTTTTTTCATACAGTGTGTGTCATGTTGGAATTTTCCTTTTTTAATATTTACTATCCAGGAAAAAGTATTTTCATTTTGAACTTATGTGTATTTGTTGTAAAAAATAATGTATATTTATTGTAAAAAATAAAGTAAAATCATGATCCAGACAGCGGACCCAAATCTTGAAAGATACATTATCTTTTTGCTTTATGATTTTGTTTTATATGATTTGATTTGCAACATCTAAGTTTACTCCCTATAATACTGATTGCTATCAGTTAATGTTGATAAAAAATCTAAGTTTACTCCCTATAATACTGATTGCTATCAGTTAATGTTGATAAAAAATAACAAAATAATAATAATAATAATAATAATAATAAAATATCATAAATGGAATACGATTGTTTATAATATTTCTTTATGAAAATTTAATAAATTAACATAACCAATTAAAATTAAACTATATTTATTTTTCCACCAATAAAGTTAAAGTTTTTAATGGTTTTTTTTTTAATACATAAACTTGATAGGGATGTTTAGGAACTCATTGTTTTCTCTTCCCCATTCTTCTTAATAGAATTTAAATTCAAATAGAAAATTGACATAGCCAATTAAAATTAAATTATTTTTATTTTTTAACCAATAAAATACTGGGGCCATTACTCTACGTATGCAGCTCAGTAGAAAAGGACATATACGGGATTCCTGTTACAAAAAGCCCAGTATGTTTAGACAAAGAGAAGACCCTAGAAAAGAAGTAGAAGACAACTGAACTGGTGTTTATTCAACAAAGCTGTTAGTCTTTAAATAGCCTACTGCCAACCGGTAATTACAAAAAACAATCAGGAACTAATATCAAGCTTGGAAAGATTAATAAACATTGTATATTATACTTTTTATTTTTAGAGAGTCTTTTATGCAATATTAATATTTATTGTTTTTTGATGATTAGTTACATATTAAATTTTAAACTCAGAAAAGTGAGAAAAAAAGATAATAATTTTAAAACTAATGCATCAGAATAATTTTTTTTAAAATTATTATTTATAAATAGATAATCAACTACGTTATTATTTTTACCTTTTATTTCACAACACGTCAGCTACAGCCGCTTTTATTTCACAACTCGTTAGCAATCGATATGCTCTTACATACATAACGATTCTTGGTTTCGAAATTAGCACATGTGTGAATTCATACACCAAGGACACCAACTGTCCGCGTGAGAATGTATCACCAAGTTACTCCCTACTCCCAACTCGGTGAGTTTGTAGAAACTCAATAAACTGGTCTATGCATCCATTATGAACATCTCTATTTGTAATTAACTTCCTCATCTCGTTAGCACTTTCTCTATATAATTTTCCTTTCTCGTTATCCATAACCAGCATCAGTGACTCGGCCAACGATTCCTTTGTAAACGATCCGTCTTGCTCATTTCTTTTTACTTCTACCCCCAACTTCTTCTCTTCCAAAACCCTGGCATTTAACCCTTGGTCAATTGAGACGGGAAACAAAATCAATGCGAGTCCAAAATTAAGTGCCTCTATAATTGAACTGAAGCCGCAGTGAGTCAAAAACCCGCCAACCGACTCATGCCCTAGAATTCTGAGTTGAGGTACCCAACTCGTCCACACTATTCCACGTCCTTTCACTCTCTCTTCAAATCCGTCCGGTAACTCGAACGAGTTACCTTGCTTCCTTAGAGTCCAAAAGAATGGCAATCCTGATAGCTCTAATCCAAGTGCCAATTCATTCAGATCTTTTTGATTCACTTCCGACTCACTTCCAAATGCTATGTATATGACAGATCCTTTGTTTTGCTTGTCTAGCCAGCCACAGATTTTAAGCCACGTTTCATCATCGCCACCTGTAACATCCAGATCTGACGGCGGAAGTAGGCCAATTGGAAGCACAGGCTTACCGTGAAGTTGTTCAAAAAGCTTTAAATGATCAGCTTCTAGCTCGAAGCAGCTCCTTACAGCAAGTACATCGACTGCCGCCATTACTGTACCTAGACGATACATATCGGATAAACCCGAATCATTTACTTCGAAATGTTCAAAAGCTCTTTTTGCCTCATGAATCCGATACGCAACTTTGGAGGGAAATGGTACCCACTTAGGAGGGACAGTGAAACCCTCCGGTCGAGTCCGTTCATCATCACCGTTAATCAAGGCCGACGATGACGATGCCAGGAAAGTTATTGTCCAAGCGGAGAAAATACTTAAATAGGCACTAGAAATGCCAAGATCTGAAGTGATCGGAGGTAGCCAGTGAGCGGCAAAATCGTAAATGATCCAATCTGGAGCAGAAGTTTTTAAAAACTGAAACAAGGGTTCTTTTAGCCCATCATAAGCTATTTTAAGGTAAGGAGTTTTGTTGGTAGGTATATCCATGGTGGCCTCTGCATGAGGGGGAAGATTGTCTACCTGAGGTAAGGGAAGGCTTATGAAATGTATATCGGATGATAAATTTGGAGGGATTTTTGGCAAACGTTGAATATTTCTAGGAGTAGATATAAAGGAGATTTTGTGACCCTTCTGGGCTATGTGTTTGGCTACCTTAAGATAAGGGATTATATGGCCAAATGCTAGCCATGGAAATAAAGCAACATGAAGCTTTTTAGTTTCAGTCATGGTGAATTTCTTGGTTTTCATGTACTTCGCAACCCTCAGCGTTTAAATAGACTTTATTTATTATACATCTGTGTGTACCAAAGCAAATGTCAGGGGCGAACTATTGTTTATAATTTCTGTGCGCCCCAAAGTCAGTTGTGTTAGATATACTCCATGTAGTATAATACACACTTCATTTGTAATACAATTCAAATTAGAGGGTAAATATGAGATTTAATACATGAACTATGACGCAAATAGAAGACAGGAAATGCCCAATATGACGGAGCAGTCGGAGGAAGAAGAAAGAGAAATCCTGAGCAATACCAGTTGCTAGAATGGCGAAGAAGACACAAATGATAGCACTTGAGTGATTTTAATAATCAGAATCGATTTTCTATTTTATCACTTATGCCTTTTCTATTTTTAATCACTCTCATGCCTGGAAGAAGAAAGAGAAATCCTGAGCAATACCAGTTGCTAGAATGGCGAAGAAGACACAAATGATAGCACTTGAGTGATTTTAATAATCAGAATCGATTTTCTATTTTATCACTTATGCCTTTTGTTTTCATGAGAACTGAGCAGGTGATGAAGGAGATGGATTTTTAGAAGATGTTGATTTTTATGAGGCTTTCTAAATCAAACTGATGTTCATTTCAATTCTCAAATCTGTTTACTTTTTCATATTTTTATGAAATTAAATTTATGGTCTTTTTCTATATTTATTGCAGGGTGTTTATGTTGAGAAGAGAGAGAAAAATGAAATTGTTAAAATGAAATTGTGGGACCCTCTATATTTATTATATTATATTATAAGGGCCAAATGACGGGGCGGCAGGTACACTTTTTAGTTTAATGACAGCAGCAAGTGTGGTGGGAAAGACTTTAAACACACGGGCGGAGCCGCATGCATGCAGCACATGGGGCATGCTCATCCTGAAATAAAATTTTTTCATGGATTTTATGAAACCTAAAATGTGATATTGTTGTCTGATTTCATATATAGAAAGATAATTCGTGGTTAGCATTTGCTATTCATAATTATATGAACTAAAAGAACATGGCACGTGTTTAGTATTTTGCTAGTTTATAATTACATGAATTAATATTTCAAATATAAAATATTTATTGAGGCTTTAGGCATAGCATTAAAGTAAATAAATAAAATTTACATTTAATTTTTATGGAGGGATATGTGGTAAATTTTGGACAAAATTTTCATCTGAGATAAGCTTAAATTTATAATTTTAAAAGATATCCATACTGAAAATTTAAAAATTTAAAAATATATAATCTAGTAAATATACTTTTTTTTTTCATTTATCTACATACACATCATTTTACTTAGCTACGTCTTTTTTATCTCCATCCTCCACCAAAGAAGGTTTAAGAGATATTATAAATCAGGCTTAATGCATAATTTTACTCCTAAACTATCATCGTTTCTCCAAGTAGCCTCCTGAACTTTGCGGGATTCTATCGTAGTGACCCTATACTAAGGGTGGCCACGGTTCCAGAATTGAACAAAAAATTAACGGTTTCAGTTACGGTTTGGAACCGAACAGTTCTAGTTCCGGTTCTGGTTCCTCAACGGTTCCAAAATCGACGATTGTGGCCGGTTCTCCAGCCTGTTTCAGACGGTTCCGACCGATTTTAGGCGAAACTAGAACCTTTGGTTCCGACTGGAACTGGAACCCCGGTTCACGGTTCCAAAACTGGTGGAACCAGAACAGAACTAGTTCGAATCGGTTCTGATTTCGATTAGGATCGATTCAGGTTCCAATTTCAGTTGCCATCAATTCCGACCTGTTCGGAACTGACAGTTCTAGTTCCAAAAACCAGATTTGGACCACCCCTACCCTATACTAACAAATTTTTCACTAACCATGCCCCTGGCGTAGAATAAGAAGAACGTCAATTGCGTTCGGGAGAGTAAGGACTAATTTTCTCAGTCAATGAATGTCCAACGTGGCGAGATCAACAGTTGTTATTGTCAAATAGCTTAAGGAGTTTCTTTATCAATTTTCTCTCTTCAAAATCAAACCCAGGAACGACGTCAATCCCTCTCTCTCTCTCAACTGATTTTGTTTCTCCAACTAAAATGGATTCGAAAATGGCAACAAATGCGAAGGGATTAAGAAGCTTGAGCAACTGTTGGCTTATGATTATGATAAGTCAGAGTTTTGTGTTTCTGGTTCAAGTCTTATTAGAAATATAAGCAAAAAACATCAATATTAGAGATAGAAAATTACGGAGGAAGTAGAGACTGAAAGAGAGAGATGAAAAAGAAGAAGAAAATAAAAAGCTATTGGTTGAAGAAACCAAAACAAACGGAGAGTCTCAGATTTTGTCAAACTGTAGATTCTCGTCTCTTTTGGACTCTACATATTGTGATTTTCTTCTCTCATATATATATTTTTTATTTTCTATTTTCTTCTTTTAATCAATTTCTTGAGCTAAAGATTGTAAAGTATGGTTTGGATTGTAATGTTTATATAAATAAGGATTTTTCGTTTTTACGGTTCCTGCAACAAAAAATTTCTAGAGGAAATCTTTTTTTCTCCTACTTTGCTGCAATGAGTTATCTGGTCACTCTAACTTTCCCATTGCTTCTAACCGTTGCCTCACCAGTTCTATGTTGCTCTTTATGCACAATGAAAGAAAGTAGATTGATGAACGATCTCTGGAAAGAAAGCAGATTAACAAAAACAACATTTATTTTTAATAGACTCGTGACATCCATGTACTGAGTCGTCAAATGAGCCACGTTAAGAAAGCCCAAGCTTATATGCATTGGCCCACAGGGTGCCCCAATAGGGCCCGAATGAAAGACCTAAGCCTACATGAACCATCACAAAGAAAGTCCTAAAAATGAAGACTCGGGCCTGTTTCGAGGGCCTGTTTGGATGAAAGCCCACAGAAGGGCCAAAGCACAACAAGCCTACCCATCATCAAAGCAAGCCCAAATGCAAGAAGTCCCACAGGATATATCCAAATTCAAAGCCCGTTAAAGTTGGCTCCTCACATGAAAGAATGCAAAGGATCCGAGCCCATCCATCTCCTACATGAAAAGATCTGAGTCTATCCAAATAGCCCAGAAAATGACAGCCATCAAAAGGCCTAAGCCCATATAATATAGCCTCGGCACATCCAAATGATGTTCAGCTTTTTTTTTTTTTTTCAGTCATCATTTTGTTAATTTTATTTTTATTTTTTTATTCAGTCATTATTTTTCATCCACGTGGATTAGATGTGTTATTATTGATCAGTACACGTCATCCCGCGCATGTTTTTCCTTTTTTTTTACATTTTGGGGACGAGTGTAAAGGAATTGTTATTTCGTAATCGTAATAGAATCACTGTAAAATTCGGAGGCTAGTAGGAGAAACGATGATAATTCAAAAGCAAAATTATGCATTAGACCTTATAAATCAATATATTTAAGATAGAACAATATTTTTATTTTTGAAATTGTTCAAGTATTATTATTATCAATACCAAATACGGTTTTTAAATAAATTTGAGAGCTAAAATTTATTGTATTGAAATTTAGAAATAAAGATATTGTTATAAAATAATATAAAATTAGATAGAAAAATAAATGAAGAATAAAGAGATAATACAAGAGTGTATATATTATTGATGAGAAGCAGCTACATATATATAGTTACATAAGTGAAATCTTGATAGAATCCTACATAAATCAAGAAAATAGAGTTCACAGTAATTGAAAATACAGACTTCTAGCCTATATAGTACATTTGCTTTATTTCTTTACAGATATGCTTAAGGAAAATTTTTCTTTTTAATTTTATTTGCACATTTGTTTTTGTTATTTTATTTAGATAGCTTTAATTTGCCACCTAATTAAAATTTATGTATCATAAATAGATTTAGTTTAAACAAAAATATTTATGATTATATACCAAGAAAGAAAATAAACAATAATATTTTAAAATTTTTTTAATTGGTTTGATGAATGTCACCATTTATGCACCATTATAAGCAAATTATTTGATATTTGATGTCAAAAATATAAAAATTATTATATTAAAGCTATATTAACTATATTACAAAGCAATATTGTACATAAAAAAGCTAAAAATTTTAAAAATTATTATTAATTATGTAAAGAAAGTGACCTTCCGCAATATTTCTACGGTCGGTGTAGCACAAGTATCGACACCGTTTTTCTGTTCGTTTAATTGAGATCCCATCATCAAGCTTTATTTCGAGGCATTTTGATACCTTTACAGATGGAACGAGCATGGCAATCGGTTTAGGTTCTCACGTCACGACCCACGACTCCATACAAGCTAGACTCCACAGAGTATCACATCGTGTCATCTTACATCGCAATCCATTGATAGGTATGCTATGTCAGCCAAAATCCCATACGCCTCTTCGTACACATAGATCATGCCTCTCTAGGTTCCAATAGTGGAGATGGTAGACCTGGACAGGAGTCCAGAGACCAGAAACACTGGACACAGATAAGTTAAACGAACACCATTAAACAGACGTATACATCGATTCAGTCGACACACTTGTTCTTCCATCACCTATTCATTAACCTTCAGTTCGCCAGCAGCCGTGGATTCACACTTCTCTCTCTTCTATCTTATTCCTAAATTAAACCCTACTACCTCATGAACTTCCACCTGTGTCTGGCCGGATTTCGCACTATCGAGTACGTGTACTCCACTCGCCTGGTTCTCCGTCACTCCCTCATTACTTCTTCTGTAGTTCTCACCATCAGACCAACAATCGCATACACTTCTTCCAACACTTAGCCTCTGCAAGGTACACTATATTCTCACTTCCATGTTGACTTTCACAGGCGTTCCCCCCGCCTCCGCGCGCGGCAGGTGAGGGCTATCTAGTTGGTGGGATTCGGCTTACGCACTTGCGTGCACCGGTTGCGAGTCTCTCTTGAACGACACTTATCCTATCCATCTGCACTGGTTCTCCTTGGCGCTTCTCACTGACGTGGGCAAGGAGCTAAATAGAGGTCCGATTAGTTGGATATAATTCGATATCTTCGTTATCGACCAACTCATATATTCTCGGGGATGTGATTGTGCAGATCTCTGGAGAGCTACCGATTAGGCGCATGCTCGAGTGAGTTGACTATTGCACTGCTGTGGGCCCAGACAGAGCGCTCGCGCGTAGTACTTAACCCTCAGTCGCACTGAACTTTGTTTCTCGAACTTTTCAATATCGTGTCCAGATGAGACCGGAATTCTCTTCTCTTGCGCCATGCAACTTTCACTGCTGGAGCTATGCGAAAACCCTGGTACATTTGGGCGAGGTGCGTCTCAACTACCAATGTGCATAACAACACACTAAAAATAGCGGACTTACAAGGGTGCCCATCCGCTCTTTCTTCCT